CCTAGAACCAAGGGGGGTGCAGCTGCACCCAGAGTTCCTGGACCTGAGGGACTGGGGCATGGTGCTCTGTAATGGTCCTTCCCATCTATGGCAACAACAGCCTTCCTCATCAGGGGTGACAGGAGGATCACTGTGAGTTCAAACAATGGTTGACATAGTTCAAGGCCCACCTGAACTGCATAGCGAGACCCTGAATCCAAAAAAAAAAAAAAGAAAAGAAAAGAAAAAGAACAAGGCCAAAATTGACTATAACATCCACTGTTAAGATTTCAGAAGTAGCTGGGCATGATTGGGCATGCCTGTTATCCATACACTCTGGGAAGCCAAAGCAGAAGGATAGCCAAATTCAAGCCAGCCTAAACAATTTAGCAACTTAATGAGATCCTGTCTCAAATCAAAGAAATGAAAATTAAAAAATGGCTGAGATGTAGCTCAGTGCAAAGGACCTGGGTTCATTCTGCAGTCACACACACACACACACACACACACACACACACTCAGAGGGAGCCAGGCATGCTGGCATATACTTGTAATCCCAGCACTTGGGAAGCAGAGACAGGAAGATTACAAATTCAAGGCTAGCCTGGACTACATAGCAAGATCTCACCTCAAAAAAATGGGGGTTTACCAGGAATCAAACTCAGGGCCTCACACTTGCCAGGCAGGCACTGTACTGCTAAGCTACATCCCCAGAGCCCCCCAGTTTTTTTCCAGAAGGATCTAAGGTAATGCTCAATAAGCCATTCAATTAAAGGTTAAACAGTGGAGATTTTACGAAGCTGAACAGAGCCTGGTATGGTGGCACACGCCGATAATGCCAGAGCTCAGATTCATGGTTTTAAGCCACTAAGCTTTGGGGTTATGTGTTATGCAGCAAAAAGTAACTAAAACACTAACTTTATCATTAGGTCTGTTTTATATACAGACAGACTCAGGCATGAAGATGTAAAATTCTTGCCGATGCCATGCAGCTAATCACTGACAGTGCTGGGATTTGAACCCAGGCAGCCTGACTTCAGAGTCCAGTTCCACTTTACCTTTTCCTTTCCTTTTCTTTTTTCTTTTTTTTCCCCTCCTTTATTTTGAGACAGGGTCTCGCTATGTAGTTCAGGCTGGCCTTGCTCTCCAGTACGTTAGCATTTGTGCAAGAACACTGTGCTGTTCGCTTCCATACACCTGATTTGAAACCAGCTGAAATGTCCAGTTTCTCTTTATCCGAACAACAGTTAAATTAGCTCTCCTTGTTACACATTGGTGTTTCGAACCTACCATTCGATTGTGCACTTTCATATCTTCTGTCATTATGGATACTTCAGATCCATCATTTCAGGTTGTCAAAATCTTCAGAGTCCTCATTGTCTTTCATCTTTCAATTCTAATTCATATCATCTTAAAATCTGATTAGCTCTACTTCTACAGCTTTATTCAGATAATTGTTTATATGCTGACACGGTCACTCCAGACTGATATCAGTTTTGATGTGTTTGTGATGAATACATACTTCAGCCTGAGTTCTACTATCATTCAGCCCGTATTCTCTATTGGCTTGAGTCCACATGGTCTAAGTTTATGCCACTGCCTATGTAATGTTGCCCCAAAAAGAATAATTTTAGAATGATGTGTCTAGTTTTTAAACTAATGCAAGTACTGGTGATGACTACCTCTATGTGTCAGGATCCAGTCAGAAAAAGAGTTCAAAAAAAGAAACTGGCTGGGTGCAGTGGTGCACTCAGCTCTCAGGAGGCGGAGGCAGGAGGATCGCTGTGAGTTCAAGCCTGAAATGCATAGCGAGACCCTGTCTCACAAAATAAACAAAAGATGATTTAACAGAGAAATAGTCACAAATAGGATGAAATTGCTAAAAAGCCAAAAAGGAGATTGTGAGGTAGCACACAGATTAGCAACAGTCTTCTGTGAGTGCTTCCTGATAGCTGAACAGAGACCAAATCCTGCTGCAAGGGAGACTGGGAAATGGAGTTTGCAGGAAGAGGACAGAGACTCGGAAAGCAAATGAATGACTGGCATACGACCTCTTACCACTTTGCATGTTCATAAGCCATCTGTTTTACAGTCTGACCTAGGAATGAGCTAGGTATTTAAGTCCTGGCTCCGAAGACTCTAGTATCTACCAGGATTAACAGCAAGGATTCTGATCCAGACAGTGTGACTCAAAACTTGGCTCTTGCACATGCTAGTAGTTTGACTGTGAGCAAGTTATCTAGCTTGTCTGTGACTAAGTTTCCTTAATTATAAAATGAGGACAAAAATAACTCCTACTTCCCAGAGGTGTGGTGAGCACTGAGTATATATGTGAAGTGCTTTGAACAGTGCCTACTATATGGAGAATATTCTCTAAAAGCACCACAAAAACCAAAAAGTTGTTAGACATCATTTTAAAACTAAGTATCTCCCCTCTACCCATTAACTCCACTATTTTTCACAATTGCTTAGATTTCCAAGAACATTTCTACAGGCCCATTCCTATAGGTACTTGATGTCAAGGACTTATGCACTTAAACTCACTGAGGTAATTTAACTGAAACTTACAGTACACAAGCACTTAACTTCTCTAATTTCTTTGTTATTTTGTGTATTTTATTTTTTCTTCTGCCTCATTCTTTATTAAAGTTTGTTTATCGAGATGGAATCTGTGCTGTCGGCCAGGCTGGCATGGCTGCCTTGGTGTGCTGAATCAATTCAAAACAGTCACCTTTCATGGTCATTTTGACTTTGGGGAAGAGGCAGAAATCCTACAGTGCTAGATCCAGTGAATAAGGCAGAGGGCTCACTGTAATTTTTTTTTTTTTTAAGATTTTTTTTGAGACAGAGTCTTGCTCAGTAGTTCAGGCCTTGAACTCACCATGTAGCCCAGGCTGGCCTCAAACAAACAGAGGTTAACAGTCTAGTTATTATTTATTACTATCACCTGCTTCAACTTCCCTAGTACTGGGATTGTAATGTTTTGTGGGTTTGTTTTTGTTTTTGTTTTTTTGTACCGGAGATCGAACTCAGAACCTTGCACTTGCGAGGCAGGCGGTGGAACCACTGAGCTAAATTCCTTGCCCTGTAATGTTTTGTGTTTGAGGCAGGATCTCAATTTGTAGTTCAGACTGGCCCTGAACTCACTATGTAGCCCAGGCTGGCCTCCAACGCAAAGCAATCCTTCTGCCTCAGCCTCCCAAGTCATAGGATTAGAGGAGTGCGCCACCGTGACCAGCTGTGGGATTATAATGTTTTTAGAGGCTGCCTTTCTGTTGGATAGCACTAGGCAGCACCATTCACTGTATATTTGATCACACCTCCCAAAGAGCACTTCCAGAACTGCTTCCGGCCTGGCATGCAGGCACTAGCTTGTTATCTGGGCACTTGGGTGACTGCCTCAGGAGAATCACCATGAGTTCGAGGCCAGCCTGTGGTACGTAGTGAGACCGTCTCGAAAAACGATAGATTCTGCCTATTTCTCTTGATTGGTGAATTGAGGCCATTGACATTGATGGTTATAACTGATATCTACTGATTTATTATTGTCATTCCCCTTCTCCCTTTAGTTTCTTGCCTTGCCTGTTTGATTTGCTCTGTTGGGCCTCATAGTGTTGTGACCTTCATTGTCTTTTTCTAGGACATTGTTTACAATTCCCTGTAGTGCTGGTTTGGTCTTCATGAAATTTCTCAGGTGTTCTTTGTCATGGAAGCATCTTATTTCCCTATCCATTTTGTGGTTTTTCTATAAAATGGAATACTACTCAGCCATAAGTAAAGAGAAATTAGAGTCATTCATAGGAAAATGGATGCATACTGAGGATATACGCTTAAGTAAAATAAATAAGTCACACATGTGTAAATACCAAATAGTTTCTCTGGTGCAAAAAAACTATAATAGTACATAAGATCCTAATGATATAATTGACAATGTGAAATAGGAAGAAAGGGGCTAAAGGTGTAGGGGAAGTGGGGAGGGAAAGAGAAAGGAAATAAGAGAAAAGAAAAAATATGAGAAAATGAATGGAAATAAAGTATTTATAAATAGGGAAGGGAGGAGGGGGTGAAGGGAGGGCAGGGGTATGGGGAAAAATGAGAACCAAGACCTGTCACGTAAAGGTACAAGATCCCAATGATGAATATAACTGTACTGTATACCTAAAATGTACCAATAAACTCAGTGAGGAGAAAAAAACTGCTTCAGAAAGTAGCAAGAATAGTGAGGTAAGTGTATTCAAAGGGAGGGGAAGTATTTGAGGTAGATTAATGGCAATGTCTTTTGGTGTAATAAATTTTATTTATGTATTCTTTCTGTACTGGGGCTCGAACTCAGAACCTTGCACTTGACAGCCAAGCACGGTGACACTGCGCTATCATAAATTTTTAAAATTTAAATATGCACTGTTATTTTTTGATCAGCCCTTCTCTTACGCCCAAAACGCAGTTCAGTGTTTAGTCTAATTATTATTTATTACTATCACCTGTTCATGCCATAGGAACTCAGCAACCCCAAACCCAGATATATTAGGAATATCTCCTGTGACTGAAAATAATAGTTACTATGGAGCACTTCCTATACCTGCCAGCGAGGTTGATGCTCAATTTTCATTATCTGCCCAGATGCTTCCAACTTTAAGAGGGAGTGGAACTACTCGAAACTTTGTATAACTAAGACTCACAGAGACTTCGAGTACTTTTCTCAAGGTCACATAAGCAGCAGGTGGGGCGACACATACACCCATGTGTTTACCATTTATTACTGACTTCTGACTGCGTCCCAACGGCAGAGCAGCTCTGCTGGTACAAAGGTAAACAGTGCAGGGCGACCGGAAGTTTCAGTGTGCAGAGCAGGGGCGGAGGCGGGAATGAGGAATAAACAAATATTACATTTCCCTGCGGTAATTGCTACTGTAAAGGCTCACTATCCAAAATGCTGCCGGATCTCAGACCCCGTGACAAGAAAAAGTACTGAAAACTTGAGGGTCTAAAGAAAAGACTCTACAGTGACGAAATAAACTTACGTCCTTTGAAAAATGCTCCAAAACGTGTCCAGTAACAATACAGGTTACACCCAAAGAACTACCAAGGCGGGGTTCAAACGAGCCGACGCTGCCAGTCCAGGATCAGCCTGGGCGGGGCCGGAAGGGCTTC